AATAGTTGTGATTGCAAACTCATCCAGTAGTGTCAGCTCATCAGAGCATGCAAGGTGGATTCTCACACTGAATGACAACCTATGCTTCCCCTATGTACCTTCAAAGCAGACAACCCCCCTCTGGCTGCTGAGCATCTCCCAGGGGAACATAGCCTACAACAGAAGCAGGGCATGGTGTTTCCCCAAGAGTAGTAGTAAAGCTCATCCCTCTGGGCCTGGCTGACTTTCAACAGAGAAATGTTGGGAGTTAAGTACTGCTCCTACACAGAGACAGTGCTGAAAATCCTCTCGTAAGGGAAGGGTGGGGATAGCTGGTGGTGTAAGAGCTCCACCAGCATTCCCTGGAGTGGTCAGTTCCTGCCTGCTCTGGGGATGGTCCAAGTCCCTTCAGGACCCTAGGTCCCTGGACCCTCAGAGGGAGTGGAGTAGGTGCCTGACAGTTCTTGGAGAGGTGCAAATCCCCTTCCTCCCCAGCAACCTGTCCTAGCACAACTGCAGGGCCAGCTGCCCACCCATGGCACGCCTGAGACCCTGATCTCTGCTGTGCCAAATGGAGAACAGCAGTACAGCTTCCAACCCCAGGTGGGGGAAAGACCCAGACAGAGGACTTAACATGGGCGACTGGTGCCAGCCAGATGGGAAGCAGGGGTCCCCCAGCGGCTGATCACAGAGTGCACCAGTAGCATGGCAGCAGCGGAAGTGCCAGCACTTCCACATGCAGCACTTCTACTGTCGATGTTCCACCAGTGGAGCCAATTTTAGGGGGGGCATAAGCGCTGTCTGTGCCCTCCTACCACTCACTGTCAGTAGGGACACCAGTACTCTCAGGGAGGGGCATGTGCCCCTTGTACCCTCCCCTATGCATCACCTATGGGACTTACCATAGCTACTTTGCTGTCTCTGAATGAGTGCCCAGGCAAGTGCTGGGAGGGTCTGAGATGGCCCCCTTATACCTCATTTTATCTGCAAAAGTTGTAAATTCACTCAAAGGCTCTGTGTCTCCCCTGTCAAACTGCAAAAACACCGCCTGTGCGAGGGGGGAAAGGGGAGTCCTATAAGATGGAGCCTTATATTTGTGGGGGAATGGTCCCCACCATGCCCTGACTGGGAGCTACCAGAGTAGAAGGCAGACCCAAGATGGGAGGAGTGGTATGAGGGAGCGAGTGACGCATAATCCAGACAAGTATGCAGGCCCCTGGTAGGGACTGCTCTGGCAAACAGCAGTGGGTGAAGGGAGTGGGACCAGAGTGCCTGGACCCTGATGCCAGGGCCATCCATGTCATCACCCCCTCCCAGAGTCGATCCATGCCACTCCTAGCTCTGGTGGTTGCACAGGCCCCCATGCAGTTCCAGGACAGTCTAGCAAGAACGGAGGGGTGCTCATAAATGGGGGGAGAGAACAGACCACTAGGCCAGGCTGTCACTGGGACTGTGGCTGGCATTGGAGTGCATCTGCCCCGGCTCATCTGCTCACGAGGTGGAAGGGCTCAGGGGATCTAGTCTACTCCCTGCAACCCCTCTTCTGGTCCTGCTGTGTGGGACTGCCTCAGCCATGGCAGGGATGAGCAGCCCACAGGCTTGGTCTTGCCACATGACATGCGGTGGGTCCCAGGTGTGGCTGAGGGTTGCAGGGTTGGAATCCCTGCAGAGGGAAATTGGGCCCTGGGGGTGGGAGAAAGGGGAGCACAGGAGCTCCACAACCCCTGCTGGGATGATGCTTCCCACCCCACAGCCTGCTTCCTCTGGCACTAGAGCCACCTCCTGCTCCCTCCCTACAGCCTTCTCAGGCAGACAGTGGGTCTGGGATCACCAACCTGTCCAGCTCCTACATGAAGAAGTCCCTGGTCTTCACTCCCAGGTCTAGGTAATAGTGTGCCAGGTCTAAAAGCCCTGTGCCTCCTCTCCAAGCTTCTGACCCTGCAGCATTCCCACCAACCCCCTCCCTGTTCCCTACCCTAACTTCCCCTCCAGGTTATTTTGCCCCTTTCAGAAACCTTCTCCTCCCCCTTCAAAGGTTTGCTGGTTTGCATCAATGGAAAGAGGGACCGGGTTGAGACATGGCAACATTCAACAGGGTTTCTTTATTAAAAACAAGGAAAATTTGGAAACTGCAACTTTGTAAACTGAGGTATGTTTCTTTCCCTGCACCAGATTTCCCCACATCCTGGTGTGTGCCCCTCGAGGGATTGGGGGAGAGTGGGGGATGGTGTCCAAGCAGCCAAGGCTGTGGGCATCACTGTCTAAGATGCCGGACCAGAAGAGCCTGGGGTTGGACATCCATTGCCTGGTGCCAGAGCATGGACACTCTCAAAGCCCTCTGCCCTGCTCATCCACGGAGAGCTCCCAGTCCCCAAGGGTGAGAAGGCAGTCAGCCAGGGCTTCAGAGACCCAGACTCCCTGCTGCTGTGTGGTACTGGTGCCCCCAACATCAGTGGTGGGCTCACTGTCTGCAGTATCCCTGCACTGCACATGCACAGAATTCAAAAGAATAAGCTTTCTGTCCACTAGTGTATTTAGCTCCTACGTAGAAAAACTGATACTAGCAAGAGGTTAAAAAAGTCCTACCCTTATCACTTGTACCCTTCAGCCTCAGCTAGCCAAATGTCTTCAAAACTGATTGATCATTACAGTATATAATTAATCCTCATTATTAGTCCTTAGTCATCTAGAATAAATTTCCTAATAATGAGAAGTTACAAGGAATTGCTTTGAAAGATTCAAGATGCAAATTTTCTATGACCTGTGAATTCTTTATGGGCAAATGTAATTCCACCCCAGTTATATTTTGACAGGGTGATTTGATTATTGCATGTTCACTATAAACAAAGTGCTGCATACAGAGATAGCCTCAGCTGTTTTGAACCAAGTGACTAAAAACTTGCAGAGCAATTAAAAAGGAAATAGAAAGAGCATTATAGACTCAAGTTTAGTAGCATTTAAAGAGAATTGAAACATCTGCATTTTATAAGAAAAATTAAACTAAAAGCAGTATGATGAGGCAGGAGAAAACCTTCCCCTTGATCGTTAGAAAGTGTTTCAATCTGTCCGAAACACTAATCTATATTATATATACACAAAATAGTCAGTAGTAGCCTTGCTATATATAATAAAGAACCTGGTGGTAGATTCTATCAAGTAGCTCCTTCACATGCTATCCAGCACATTCACATTAACTGGAGGTTATAATACATGTAGCTGTATGTAGTTAATGTTACATGGTTTACTAGATCTACATAATTAACACTGTCTAATGTTCAAACTCATTTTGTAATAGCTGATTTTCTTAGCCAATAACAGGCCAATTCCTCAGCAATTTGACATCATCCTCAGCTAAGTATCCAACCTAATTCTCCATTTGAAGTCCATGGGTCTCTTAGTGTCCACATGCCAGATTTATAAATGTGGGGTTTCCAAACAAACCTAGATGCCTATTTACCAATATTGTCTGGGACCTCATGCTGGCCTTGGCAGGAGAAAGACATTTGTGTACCTCCTAGGCTGAAAGATTCTGAATAAGAGAGGGCTTATCTATACTATCACTGTGTCTAAACCACCTCCATGCAGTGCCAGGCACCACAGCCAAGAAGCATTACCCACATATTCATCATGCACAAGGAACCCTGAGCAGTGGCTAAGAGTGGTGCTGAGCACATGCCCCAGTGCCACTCTCAGGCTCTGCATCTCAGGCTTACTCCTTGGACAGCCTCAGTGCCACTGTAAAGGGATGCTGCCTCCTTTCTGAGAGCTGGTATATGAGAGCAGGGCTTGGACAAGGCATGCCTCTTGGTGGTGGTCCCAGGCAGACTGAGAAGCTGGTGTTGACATTCCCCAGGTGCCCAGATCTCCCTCTAAATCTGGCCAAGTCACATAAGGCAAATGCAAGCAGCATAAGGCCCTTTGTAGTTTCTGAATGTCTGGAAAAAGTAGCATTAATATGCAAAGAAAGTATTTAGCCTAATTTTATTTTCAAAAGTGAACAAATGAAAGAGCAGCCTAGTGGAGGACTCATACTGTGCTAAATACCAATCAATTTAGTGGAAACCTCCAATTAGCCTCAGCCTATAGTCCTCTGCCCCACAAAGTGCTGAAAGCTTCCTCTCTCTCTCTCTCTCTCTCTCTCTCTCTCCTATTTAGCATCCAAGGGCTCCAGATTCCTTCTGTGGTGCCTCAATGTATTTTCAATAAAAATTCCAAAACACATTGAAAATACAGGCACAGTCCATAAGGAAATAAATGTAATACCCCATCCAACAGCACAAGGGACATTGTGTTCAGCATCTGATTCCTTTTCATATTTTAATTAATTCTTTAAAATGTTTGGGTTTTGATCTAATTTCCAGCTTGTTGGGACACCACAGAACCCACAGGCTTTAAGTCACAGCCGCCCTGTAAAGCTGTAACTAGGTTAGGAAAGTACTCTGTTAGCTCCCTGGAAATCTGAGTCTGCTCTGTGGCAATCTCTGGAGCCCTGCTATCATAGCTGGCCTGTGTAGTCCCTCATCCTCATTGCTCCCCTCACCTCAGACACTATTTCTCCTTTTGGCTCTGACTGGTAGAAGTGTTTAGTTCCCAGCCAGCATTCCGACCCTGGATGATATAGTGCTGCTGTAGTGATCGCATCATCTCTCTATAATTGAACTGAATTCATGTCACCCCAAAAAACATCTTTTTCAGCAAATAAATCATGCATCAAAATATTGCCTGGCTCAAAGTTCAAATCTGACCGCAGCCTGAAGCCAGAATTTTCCCATCACTTTCTTTTTATACCACTTGTATGAATCTGCTTCTCTCTTCTCTGCTCTCGAGAAAGATCTTCCAGCCAATGGGCCTGTCTAAATGTTGCACTAAATTGCTGTAGCAATGCACTACAGTGATGTAGCAATCACGGGTGTCTACATGTCACCAGCAGCTACTTCGCCATAATGGTACGCTCCCCCATTTTAGTGTGCCACTACAGCAAAGTAGCCGCTAAAAATAACTGTGGCGAGCATGTACAGCACAGTACCAAAAGGAAATAGTAAAGCATGGTACAGTAATAATGTTGCCATAGGGCAACATGTATATGTCCCCTTTGTGAAGTTCTGGCTGGATACACAGGGCTTCTACTGAGTAGCCAGGAGCAAGCAGGCTAGCCATTGCAACAGCAGCAGCATGGTTTCCATGCCAGCAGCAGACAGACACTATGATAAAGTGCAACACATGCTGGATTCTCTTAGAGAAAGACTTTTAGAGCATTTCAAGACAGGTGTCACTCTCCTCTTTGCAAAACAGAAGGCATTCCACAAGCTTGCTTTTCAACTGTGACATACCATCTAGGAAGCAGAATACATCAATTAAGAAAGTGATATACTTGTCACTTAACGAGGATACATAGTATTACATTCTGCAGTACTTGTTTGGCTCTGGAGTCCTACCTGTTCAATTTTCGAATAAAGAAAAAATATTAGAGTAATTCTTCTGTTGCAAAGACCTCAAAAAGACCATAACAGGTCAGAATAGTTTTGGTGCTGCAAATTCCTATTTGAAATCTCTGCCCTGACAGCCTTACCTGGGGTCCTGGGGGCCTCCCAGGGCTCCAGCTGTGGCAATCCAGGTGTGCAGAGCCTGGCTGGCAGCTGGAGCTTGGCCAGGCTCCAGTTCTGGGCAGCGCATACTACCACCACATGCACTACCCAGCTCTTTTACCACTCATTCAGTCTTCCTCCCTCTCCTGTCAATATGCTATGTGGAACAGCTTTACTGGAGGTAGTAAGAGAACCCTACCCCAAAATACCCCGTAGCCTAGTGATTAAGGGCACTCTGGTAGGCAGGAGAAGGAACTGAGCCATTCTTCATGTGTCATTTTTGTTCCAGTTTCTTTCCTTATCACACACCAGTTAGAAATAAAGCTGCAAAATTCTGTTGGGGCAACTTCATTCATACTTCCTCCTTACCTATTAATACCACATCCTGCCAATCTTAAAGGGGTCCAATTACCTTTGATTTGTGTAAAGGCAAGGGTAATATGCTTCAGTCAGGGTTCTGCATTAGCTTGGCAAGCATTTAACATGTTGGGCTTTGATGCTTGATGTTTTTATGGATCTTTCTTCATGCTATCAGTTGCAAGCTGCAAGCTCCTTTCCTTTTCCTTCTTTTTCTGTTTCTTCTTTCCCAGAGATACAGGCTTCCCTCCCCTCAAAAATCATTAAGCTTAGATTTATGGTGCTGAATTCTTCAAGATGATGTTCACAGTCCACATGAGGTCTTGCTTTTGGAAACCTCAGACATTCACATGTTAGTGTTTTCCTCAGGCTTGTATTTCATGGCCAACCTAATGAATACATTCAAGATCAGTACAAATGGGATCTTACTATAAGCTCGGCAAAATATTTTTGGCAAGTTACCTGCACTACTTTAAAGAAGTTGCTTAAAATTTCTTAAGGTCGTTCAGCACCACTGCAAGACAACATCTCTTCTTTTATAGCTGGTTTGCTTTTGACTTCGAACCCAATTTTATTTGGGCTTTTTCAGTCATACTCCTAACTCATTAATACTACTTCCCTGCTAAGCTTAAAAGGGTAAAATCACTCATGTAAAGGTAAAGGAAATACCACTTTAAAGAACTACTCAGAGGGGTAAGGATTGCTCATTCAGATGGATGAAGCCCCATCTGAATATCAGTGAAGTACTAAAGGATTTAGCTACACAGCACACCTCTATGGTAAGAAGTATTATTCCCATTTTACAGAGGGAAGGTGTGTCACAGGACAATGGAGCAACTTCTAAAGATTTAATTTAACCTTCAAAATTAAACCTAGATCTTCCAAATCCTAATCTGTATGATTACTTTTTTTATTTTCACACAATTGTTTTTGAGCTCCAAGGTTGCATTGCACATTCTTCTGGTAGGATTTAGTGTCTCAGGAAAGGGAAAAGATGACAACAAAGATGAGATGACTGCGCAGACCTTGACGCAATAAAGCTATCACATATTAGAACTCCTTGAAGGGAAGACAATCATAACCTGGAATCAGATTTACAACTTTACAATCTACAAGAGATGCTTTACTGAGCAGTAGACAAAATTACTGTGCAGTAAATTTCACCATCTATATGTGGACATGCTTACTTGGCTGTAATTTGTAGGGCTGTGTGAAATGGCGCTATTCCATTTCAATTTGCGTTTCAACAGAACAGTGTTTCATTTCGAATTCCATTTCAGTTCAAACCTGATGTTCCATTTTGTTTCATCGAAACAGTTTTGCTGTTTCAACATTTTGCCCATAGGCAATAATGGGAAAGCTTGAAACAGCCTACAACTTTGTCATTTCTAGCCTGATTTGGATTAAACTTGAGGAATAGTAGCCCCTTTTGAGAGCACGAAACCTGCCAAGCTACAGAGCAGGGAAACTCAGGGAAACTCCACCTCAGATTCTTGAAAGCAACACTCATGTCATGCTATGTGTTAAGCCACAGTGGGGCCAAAACTGCAGGCCTGCTAGCCCCTGCTGAGGCTACAAAGCCTGCCAGCTTTCAAGGAGACAGGTGCAGGGGTTTTGGGGAAGCTGCACCTCAAGATGCTGACAAGCAAAACTCATGACGTGGGTGACACTGTGTGTGTTAAGGCGCAGCAGGGTGAAAGCTTCAGGATTGCTAGCCCCTGCTGAGGCCATGAAGCCTGCCAGCTGTCAAGGAGATAGGTGCAGGGGCTTTGGGGTTCTGGGGCCCTGCACCTCTGGCTGCTGACAGGCAAAACTCGTGACATGGGTGGGTGACACTGTGTGTATGTTAAGATGCGCTCTCACTCAATTGACACCTAGGCAGAAAGCAGGGCAGTTCAAACAATGCTGCCTTTTATGCAGTTTTCCCATCCCTCCCCCAGAGCACTGGAATTGGAAGGGACCTCAGGAAAGGATGATAGTCACTGGCCAGCTACACGGTCAATATTAGAGCAGTCCTTCCCTGCCCCCCTCCTTACATTAGTTTCTGTCTCCCTGCAGGCAAGCCCAGCTTGAGCTTTGAAACTTTAAACGTTTTGAAATTTTTGAAATGTTTCGACTTGCCTCCTTTCATTTTGAAGCTCTGTTTCATTTTGATTTGGCTGTTTTGAGCTTGAAATGAGTTGAAAAAGCATCAAAATGAAACTGCCAGTGAAATTTTGCACAGCCCGAGTAATTTGGTCTACTCTGTGGTTAATTTGCAAATTAACTGTGGAGTAGTTACTATACAATAATGCATGTGTAGATGCTGACAAGGAGCAAATTTGCTCCCAATCAGCCCCATCACCCGGGGACTACCCTCAGGCTAGCCCCAGGCCAACGCGGCTGGCAGCTTCTCTTGTCCCAGGCTCTTAAAAGGCT